AAGCAACTTCGTTCTTTCATGGGCATACTCAACCATTCACAACGTTTTCTGCCAAACCTTCAGGTCCATTCGGACCAATTACGCCCTTCCTTGAAAGCAAGTAATAAAAGCATGTTTGTGTGGAGGGAGGACCAACAAACGGCTTTTAGGAATATTTGCAATTGATAGCGAATATCACAAAGATGAATCATTATGACCAAAGTCGGAATACGCGAGTGAAATGTGACGCTAGTCATCGCGGTTTGGGAGCTGCTTTAGAACAGGAAATAGAAAAGGATGTTTGGGTTCCTATTGCATTTGCTTCGCGTTTACTCAATGACCAGGAAAAGAAGTATAGTACTAACAAGTTGGAACTTCTAGCCATTGTGTGGACATGTGAGCACTTTCGTAATTATTTATTTGGTAATCATTTTGTGGTTCTAACGGATCATAAAGCGATTATTTCGGCGTTAAAGACCAATAGAGGTAATAAAACCCATCAATCTCGCTTAACCAGATGGGCTGATTGATTATTGCTTTTTGACTTCGATATTTTCTACATTTCCGGATGTAAATTGGGTATAGTGGATTATTTATCTCGTTTTCCAACGTTTGAGGCACCACGACCAAGCAGTTTCGATGAACAATATGTGTTCAAAAGTGTTAGTTGATTCTTTGATGCTTGCGATTACCTGGATGGATGGGTTCGGGTTTGTTCTTTATCAGAAGAATCATCCGATATTTCGAAAAACAGTCAAAAGTTCGATCTATCTAATTCGATCAAGTTAATCGAGCCGATTGATTTTGGTCAGCCTCGGGCCAATCGTCCCGTTCGGGGTAATTCATTAATTTCATCCAAGGATATTGGAAATCCGTTGGTTGAGGGCGTCAAAAATCGGGACATTCAAGTTACATCTCATTACATAAAACCGGTAGAGGGCGACGAATATTTCGATTTTGGCTATACTGAATTATGTAAACAATTCAATGCGCTTGTCACTTCTCCGCTAGAGGGCGTTAGAGTTTCTGGTTCAAAATCTAGCCAATCAGCTTTGAGCTGGTTCATGCACGTTTTTGTCACTTTCTCAGCGTGGATCACAAATTATCTGCCAATTTGTTTTTAGTGTGGATTATCAGTACGGTAATTTGTGATTGGGAATTATTATCTTCGTCCGTGGGTCTTTTTGATTTTATTTCAGTTTATTGGAATTATTGGTGTGTATTCGTTTTATTGGGCGCTTTTCATTTTCAGACTGCGATGCGTACTAACACCACTAACGGTAACGATAGCTTTGAACAACTGCTCAACCAGTTTATTCCGATCAATCAACATTGGTTTTCGTCGGATCGTGCCAGGCCGCGATTTCGCGCGGGGGCAGTGCGTCCAAAGAGGTCAACTATTTTACAGCGTGGTGCGGCGTTGAGGGGTCAATACGCTCGAATACTTGCCAATTTTAGGTCAAAGAGGCTTAGGAAAGTCAGATCAGTAAATCGTCATGTTCAGTCAGTTCAAAGTTTGGAAATTTTGAAATCGTCTGTGGTAGCTCAGGACCAGAAATCATTAAACAGCTTAGTGGGCAATTTGGACTCCGATGTGCTGTCGGAACTTATGGATGAAGACTCCAGCCTATGCTTGATGAAACGGGCGCTTATTAACCGGGACTATGAAGGATTTTGTCGTATTGACTCCTTTTGGCATTGTGCAGCGGTGGTTTATGGCTGTATTGTCGTGGACAATAGGATCGCTATTCTTATGTGTCTTAGGAAACCGTTACTGTCTCGGCTACATAGGTCGCATGCGGGTCAGTTAGCCGTGGTTGACGCCGCGCAATACATATGGCGGCCTCGAATGCATCGAGATATTGTCCAGTTATGTAAATACTGTCCCCAGTGCACGAAGTTTGGTAAGAATTTGAAAGCGAATGCTTCATTTAACTCTGCCAAACTTTTACCCCTTTTATTTGGTCCTAATGAAGAGCTTCAGCTCAATTATGCGGGTCCTCTACTCGATTCGGTTGGTAACAGTATTTATATCTTGGTCGCGATTGACCGTTACTCTAAATATCCGTCAGCTATGATTACACATTCTACGGGGGGACGGAAGATCATTAAATTTCTTAAAACGTATATTCAACAGCATAGTTTTCCTAAATCCATCAAAACTGATCAATATTCAGGTTTTAAGAACAAATTAGTGCAGGCCTTTTGTAAAGATAAAAATATTGCCCAATATTTCTGCCCGGTGGGTGGTCATCGTGGTTGTGGTCTGGTGGAACGGTCGATCCAAACCATTAAGCAACGTTTGGGTGCTTCGCGATTGAGCTCGGATTTTTCAAATGATCAAGATACGCTTAGAAATATAATTGAGGATATTCGGATAACAAAAAATTCTGTTACTGGGGTTTCACCTTTTGAGCTTCATTTTGGTCGTCCTCCGAATACGGAGTTATCTATTGCGGCAGAGCGATTGTCTACGGGCGTTAATTTAGATAACTAACAATTGGAGCATGACCTACTAACACCAGAACAGCGTCGGGAGCAGTGCGACAGCCGACCAAGAATAAAATTAGTGAAGAAGGGGCAGTCAAGCCCGACAGTGTCACCCTACTTTGGGGGACCAACGGAGTCAGTTGCGGATACACCTCACTATCGTGCGCTGGAGAGTCTGGCTCATTCTGCAAATCAGTGGCTGACTTTGAAGAAGTCCTTAACGCATCAAGAGGGGGTCAAAGCTCTTAAGACGCTGACAGAACGGAACCAAGTTCTCGCAGCTACCCTTCGTTCCAACTTGTCTGCTGGGACGCTCAGATTCAGAAACCAGATGCCAACTGAACAAATTCGTCCATCACTACTAAAACGTAATTTGGATTACTTAGATTTGAATGAACCAAGTAAGGTCGAGTTTTTAGGAAATTTCTTAATAGGAAATCTGGTCGAGAACTTTTCAAACCTTTTAAGGGTAAAATTGTGCAGATTACTGGGTCCACATATATTACTGACAAGGGGAAACTTCTTACATGCGGTACGTCTTAAATCAACGAGTCTAAGTTTTTCAGGCAAGCAAGCAACGCCTGTCAAAAAGGGGCAAAAACGCCCCATTGTATCATCATCTTCGCCTTCATCGTCAGAGGACAATCGGCCTTTGAAACCAACAAGTTCTCGTCAACGAATTTCGGCCAAAACTGTGGCCGCACCTGCTCGTCCGCAATTCCCGTCTCTGATGTCTTCGTCTACGCCATTGCGTGCCCAATTTTTCTCGTCCAAATCAAAGCACAATTTATTATCGGAGGCTATTCCTTATCCTCAACAGTCTACTCCAGTAGTAGATTCAACGGCTTCTTCGTCCACATCAGGAAACCAAGGAGCGGAGGTTCCCATCAGCATCAAACCGAAGTCACCATCTCCCACGAAAGACAAACTACTATTCTGCCCGGATCTTATCCCTATTTCTTTGGACGATGAGTCATCGGTGCCAAAGCTACAAGAGTGCTCTTCGACCAATTTGGCAGTATCGGGTCTTCCCACCCGGGATGTTTTTGGTTTAGTTTCTGAACCGGACGGAAATATTTCGTCACCATCGAGTTCTTCCCGAATTTCATCTCGCCGGAAAAAGCAGACAACTTTCTACGGCAGCCCAATCAGACATTCTGTGAATGCCGTCTAAGCTACTTTGTCTTCTCCGTCAACTTCTGTTTCGCCGGACAGGAGAGTTCGTTTTGCTGTGGCCTACCAAGAACCAGATGTTCAAGTGGGGCAGTCCCGGGTTATTCTACCCAATGAGTCTGAAGGTTTTAGCAGAAATTTTACACGTTTTCCGAACATGAGCTCATTGGATCATCCCTTGCGTCGTTCAGATAAATAAAAATCTCCTGTTATTTAAACTCTTCTAGTCATTTAAAACATTTCCAGTATATTTATCTTAAGTCATATCCGTCAATCTTGTAAACTTCTCTTAGTGCTTCATCTGTTATAGGAAGTTTTGTTACCGGCAGTGAGTGTATGTTTAGTTTTTCTTAATTCAAAGAAATTCAAATGTTCAAATGAATTTTTTCCCTAGAGGGGAAAATGTGGTGTGGTGCTGTCTAACTGTATCGTTATGACGTCATTATAGTATTACTTTCAATGCTAGTTATTAATCGTGTTAATCTTGCCTATTGGCTATCAAGGTCGCTACCGACCTGTCAACCCATACTCTATTCATAATCAAGTTCACTCACTCACTGTCTCAATTTATGAAAGATTTAAGTTGAACTCTATAATTTTGTCATGACATTATTTACCTTATTTACAAACTTATCTATTATATAAACAAGATGAATTGAGTCTTGTATTAATCTTTTATTTTTCAAGAAACCACAACCATACTCTTTGTTCGACCCTTGTAATTTGCGATAAAAAAATGCACTTCGTTTGACAGTTCCGGTTGAATCATGAACAATACACTTCAGCCCTGAGACTTTGATGTGTGCTTTTTTTTATTTTAAATTTTACAATAATTCATCAAACCAAAAATTTATGCAGCTTAGCTGGGCCTCATTTCTAGTTCCTGAAATTTTTTAGATCTCTCTTGAAAAACGCTTGGCAGAAACAATCCAAAAAATAGTGCAATTTTTTGATTTTAATATTATCCTGCATAAGTGATAACTTCACTAATG